GAAAATTTGGTTTGTAATCTTGGTCGTTCAATTCGAAATATCATTCGGTTTTGGTCGATTTTCCAGCAAAAAAAACACTTTGTATATTGTGTATGAATTTGTTCAACAATTTTGTTTGTGTGTGTTTAAATTTTATTTACCAAAATAAAATAATTTGATTCAAAACTCAAATGATTTAGTACATGCAAGCTTTAACATCGAGAAGTTTGCTATAACATTCTTCGTTCTGCTTTAACAAAAAAAAAACATTCTTCGTTCTACTTTGTTTAACATATACCCAACACATATTGTTGATGAACGATCAACGATATATGATTATAAAATTGAGATATGCGATCAAGTAAAATCAAGATGATTAAAGACATATATATATACACACATGACATGATCACACACCTAAAACCATCTATGATACAAATAAGGCCAGATTTTCGTTACATGTCGAATATTTGTAACATTTTATTTACTTATCATCGCTCCGACGACGGAAAAGCTTATAACGTCTAATAGATTCCAACCTTTGTAATTTCATTTCGTCGTTGAATTTTCTAATGAAAGCTTCGACTCGTGAATTGAGCTCATCTCTTCCCATTGATAACTCTTTTTTCAACTTCACCCACGTCGGAATTCTCTCCATCATTACTGACGGTGCCGGCGACGGCGGAGGCCTCCTCGCTCGCGACGGAGAAGGACACGACGATGTTGACATTCTTGAGTCGTTTCTTGAAATGACATGACCTTGGCCTTGCCACGTGTTAGGTTTCGTTGGTTGTTTTTCGGCTTTGACTCGGTTCCACATCTCTTCCATGGTTTCGTTTTCATCACCTGATTTATCATCTGATGATATATACGAATTTTGGAGTTAAATAAAAACTTATGTATGATCATTTTCATTACGAATTGATTACTAAACTTGTGTGTTTTTTTTTATATACATAAAATAATAAATTAAAATGACAATTTTCAAGTATTACTTATTGAAATTTTCTTAAGAACTTCATTTCTTTTTTTTTAAACGTTTTGAAGATTTTAGTTTGATTTGTTTAAAATTCGTACACATGATTTTTACAAGTGAGTATTAAAAATATGACTTAACAGAAAGAAAAAAAACCTAAATTTTCGAAGATAGGAGATTCTTATTTTTCGAAGTTTTATGTATAGACCATTAGAACATATTAGATACCTTGTGGAAAAGTCTTTAAAGGAGCAGTAGGTGGACGTCGGAGACTGGTGGGCTTCTCCCGCTCCGTTGCCGGAAAACGAACCTCCGGAGAAGAAACCGGTGGACGAACACCATAAGATCTTCTAACCGGAAACTTTTCTTCCTCGTGAACCTTATTATTGAATTGATCAAACGAAGAATCGGATGAGTTATTGGAAGAACGGCCT